TAATTACAGAAGTCTTAGCTGAATATTCTGTTATAATGATAACTGCTTAATATATCTTTCGAGTAACAAAGGTTCAGGATGGTTTCCTTAAAAACCTAGGCGCTACAGACAAATAGCAACAGCAGAGCGAGGGTATATGCTCAGCACAACTATGAGCAGCAATGACTTGGACTGTTCGGGCATCATAGAACAAAGCATTCAAGCATTGGAGGAAGAGCTTAGCAACAGCACTCTCCATCATTCCTCATCACTCATACCAAGCACTATAACCAGGAATATGAATAAAGGATGATACTCTCTTAGCTACTGGTACGAACACCTGAACAACACCGAGGACGCTTCCCAGACAACAGGAGAGTCAGGCCAGAGCGAACAATCTAGCAACCCGCCAGAATCTCCCGTGAATAAGAAACCCAAAAGACTTACAAGAAGATTCTCTTTCAGCATTGGGTGAAACAAAGAAACAACATAAATTGAATATCTTATCTATAGAATAAAACTAGAGAAACTCTTCATCTGCATTTCCTTGCAAAGCATCAAAGCATGAGAAAATGAGAATCCTCGAATCAGCTCACTTTATGATTTACATTACGAACTAACATAGATCTTCTGCGCTTATTATAGCTGCAGAATACATTTCTCAGAGAAGATGCAATACGAATAATTCCCTATCAGAGAACCAGAACAAATCCTTTAAGCTGTTGAAGAACAGAAACTTCACTTCAGAGAAGTTCTCAATAAGCAGTATAATAATGCATATATCGAGCTATCGAACAATTGTTTCATGCAATGTATAAATAAGAAAGTAGAATAGTAGCAGTACAAGATAATACTCTGTATAATTCATATTAATGATAAAGTTTATAACTAGCATTAATAGAAGAAAGATTAGAAGCAATGATGATATAAGCAAAAGCAAGCTAAAAAGCTCGCTTAAGAAGCAGCGAAGCAAGCTCAGAAAGAGAACAAACAGTTCTCAATAACTCCAAAAGAACAGAATTGCTTGTAAAGGAACTGCAGATGATCAGACTGAAACAGTTTCTATGTAAAGCTTCTAGAACAGATTATGCTTATATTAAGTTCAACATATATATTTAAGAATACAGGTATAGCGCACTATTGAATAGTAATACTTAAGAAAACTTTATATTCTTATATATTATCAATCAAGTATAACTATAATGAAAATGAAAGAAGTATTCCTATACTCTCAGCACTGTAAAAGAACAACCTGTTGCTTACAACTAAGAAGTAATCGATAAGAAAACTAATCATCTATTTATTTTGATTCAAGAATGAGTAATCAGGATTTCTTTTGATATTACGGATACAGCACAGCATAAGCTGATTATAGAGCTTTCATAGCTTAAGAAGCACAATCCTCAAATCGATTGAACTACTAGCCAGATCTCATGGGAATAAGCTGTATCCAGAGAAATAGTTGCAATCAACAGCGCAGGATCGAAGCTAGTTATTGAAGAATACTCAAGAAGAGGAGCTTCAGACGACTTTACACATACTTTCAAGTCAGCAAGGCTAGCAGTTCAAGGAGAAGAACTTAGTAACAAGCGAACTCAAACAGTGCTAGAGCGCTAGCAGGTTAGCAAAACAACGGAAGCAAGGCTCTCAGCAAGTCGGTTCGCTCCGGAGCAACAAGGAAAAGCTTTAGAATGTGAATTGTAGATCCACACAGGAAAAACCTCGAAACCAGGCTCTCGAGCGCTCGGTTCAGCCTGGAGCGAACGCTTAAGGCCCTCGAAAACGCTATCAGAAAAGAAGCATGCTCAACAGTACCTACTGTTCCTCCAGATAGCAGAAATAGCATATGAACCAGAACCAATACTCGCAAACATACTACGAAAATATCATAAGTTCAAGAAACTATTCCAGAAAGAATTGGAAACAGAACTGCTAGAATATAGCTTATATAATCATAAGATCCTACTACAAGAAGAAAAACAACTCAAATTCTTCCTCATCTACGGACTAGATAAGGCATAGCTAGAAGCATTCAGAAAGTATCTCGATGAGAATCTCAAAAAGAAATATATATAATCATTGCAATTATCAGCAGAATATCCTATTCTGTTTATACTCAAAAAAAACAGCAAGCTCAGATTATATATTAACTACTAGCAATTCAATAATATTATAATCAAAAACCAATATTTATTGCTACTTATCAAGGAATTATAAGATAGACTGCAAGGAGCACAATAGTTTATAGTTCTGAATCTGAAAGAAGCTTATAATCTAATCAGAGTAAAGAAAGGAAAAGAATAGAAAACTGCTTTCAGAATATGCTATAAATACTACGAATATTTAATCATACTCTTTAGTCTAACAAATACTCCAGCTTTATTCCAAGAAATAATTAATTATATTCTATATAAGCATCTGAATTAGTTCATTATTGCTTATCTCAATAATATCTTCATTTACTCCCGGATACTGGAAGAATATAAGAAATATATGGAAACAGTATTGCAGATGCTTCAAGATGCAAAACTTCTTATAAAATCCGCAAAGAGCTACTTTTATATACAAAAGATTAACTATCTCGAGTTTACAATTAAGCTAGATTGCATCAAGCTACAGAAAGATAAAGTAGAAGCAGTTAGAAATTAGCTAATCTCTAGGAATATCAGAGATATTAGATTCTTTCTTAGATACATTAACTTCTATAAGTAGTTTATTAAGAACTATAGCTGAATTATATACTCTCTTACAAATCTTACTAAGAAGAAGCAGCTCTTCGAATGAATCTTTAAAGCGCAAGAAGCTTTCGATAAGATCATCAGGCATATCATCTCAGAGCTAGTTCTGTATAAAGCAAATCCCTACAAACCTTTTAAAGTTGAGACTAATACATCAGAATATGCACTCGGAGAATAACTTGGTTAGCAAGATAATCAAAGATGCTTAAGAGTTATAAGCAACTTTTCGAAAAAGCTAAACAGCTCAGAAGTCAACTACAGAATCCCTAATCAGAAGCTTATAGCAATAGTAAAAGCTTTCGAGAAATAGTAACACTACTTCATCAGCGCACAGCATTCGATCACAGTTCACTCAGATCACAAAAACCTAACTATATTCATAATAATCAAAGTCTTGAATAAGCAATAAATCAGATAAGCAGAATTCCTCTTACAATTCGACTTCAGAATCATGCACTACAAAAGCTTAGAAAACAAACAAGCAGATACTCTCAGCAGATAATCAGACTATCGAAATGCAGATTTCTCAAATATATAGAACATCTTTGCTCAAGATGAGTTGGGAAATCTTATCAATGCATACAGAGAGCTGAACGCTGCCTTCAGAATCAGACTTTCAGAAACAAATTCAGAATTGATAACTTCAGATAAATAAGATAATTACATCAGAGATATATACAGTATATCAGCATACGAATACTAGAGAGTTAGAGCAACTTATAAATGTATCAAAAGATACTAAAGCTTATCAAGCTTTAGAAAAAGAATTAGAAACATTCTATAACAATGCAACAGCTGCAAGAAGAATAAAGCAGAGAGATATAAGCTTTATAAACTACTGCATTTCTTATTAGTATTTATAATTATTTAGCAATTTATTAGTTTAAACTTTATTATCAAGCTATCTTTCTTATAAGAATTCTTAACTAAAGTGCAATATAATAGCATTCTAGTAATGATTTGCAGACTAAGCAAGTATGCTTACTTTCTTTCTTATAAGAAAAGCAGTATAGCAGAGGAACTTGTATATATATTCCTCAGAATGATTATTGCTAACTATAGCATATCAGAAGAAGTAATCTCTAATAGAAATAGGAAGTTTAATTTAAAATTTTAAACTTCGCTTATAAAATAACTCGAAATATACTATAAAATATTTATAGCATTTTATCTGCAAACAGATGAACAAATGAAAAGAATAAACCAGATTATTAAACAATATCTTCAATACTATATTAATCAGAAACAGAATAACTAAATTAATCTATTACTTCTTGCATAGTTCGCTTATAATAGCGCAGATATAAGCATAACAAAGAAATCACTATTCTTTATACTCTATAAATATAACTCAACAGCTTATTACGAAGCACTACTAGAAATAGATACAGAAGCTGCAGATAAAAGAGTTAAGAAGATCAAGAAAGTTCAGAAGAAACTTCAGTTAGAACTACAATTTATTCAAGAATAAATAATACAATATGCAAACTCAAAAAGAATTAAGAGACTAATTCTACAGAAAGAAAATAAGATTTATTTATTTTGAAAAAACATTAGAATAACCAGATCTAGCAACAAACTTGATTATAAAAAGTTAGAATTATTCAAAATCTTGCAACAGATTTCTCTGGTTAACTACAAGCTAGCATTATCTCATAGGATAAGAATATACTCAGTTTTCCACATCTCACTACTAGAACTAGCAGCATAAGAAATATCAGAGAATGATATAGCAGAGATAGAGAATAATGAATCAGAGTATAAAGTAGAAAAGATTCTCAAGCACAGAAGCACAAATAATACAAGGGAATACCTTATCAAGTGAAAAGATTACTCAGCGAGCGAAAATTCATGAGAATCACGGAAAAACGTTAAAAATGCTCAGGAAAAGGTAGCTGAGTATTGGAAAAGAAAGAAAGCCAGCACCTAAGATGATCGCTCCGCCCCGGACCGAGGTTCAGGAGCCTCAGAAACCTCGCTCTTCAGGAAACTCAACCAATCCATCACTGCATTCCTCACATCCACGGAATTCCAGTCAAAACCCTCAAAAGAAGAATCCTCAGCTACAGTAGCAGATTTCTCAGCCGCTATAGCCTGTGCTTTAGCAGCAATACGCATCCTCTCAGCCTTAGCTTCCTCAGCCTCTATACGATCCAGTTCCTCCACACAAGTAATACCACAATGCAGAGCACATTTCATCTTCTCAGACTACATTCGCTTCTATTAGCGCAGACAGAGAAGCTCAATCTCCCTCTTCTCGATCTCGTTCTCCAATTTTTGATATTAGATAGCAATATTGCAAAGCTCCTCGGAAGAAGAGCTTATAACATCGCACTTGGAGCAGCCCAGTCGAATGCATTCGATACAACGAGAAGAGTCTCCAGAAGACATCTTGCAGAACCTGAAACTACGCTCCTCACAATAGGAACAAACAGGCATCTCGATAAAATTTTCCAAAAGACGGAAAATCAAGAGATCTCGGTCTTGAGTACTCTTTGGAACGGAAGAAGATTTGCAAATACGGAATCTGCTGATTCTGCTTAACATCTCAATTAGGAAGGCAAGACTATGCATACGGAGGATTTGCCAGAATACTTATAGAAGATTGTTGAGAACAACAACTGATAGAAGAAAGATAATGTTATAATTCATCCAATATGCAGATTACAGAATAAAGCCTTACTAATCAAGAAACTAGATATTACAATTCAATATCGGATACTAAGCAAGCTTACATAATCCGGGATAGAGTTACTAGCGCAATTATGTTAACTATGGATATAGTTAACATATTTGGAGAAATGACTATGAGGAATCGGAACATAGTTAGGATAGTCAGAACTGAAGAGCTGAATATATAAGAACCCGTTCATTATCATTAGATAGATTCAGTACATAGCTCTTCAGTTATCAATCTAAGTATCAGTTTACTCTCTCATTCTGATAGCCCCAAAGGCAGTGAATACTTGCATCGCTTATTAAGACTTGTATGGTTCCGTATTCAAGGATTTGACACTTCAACATCGCTCTTGTTAGCATAAACCCCTTCGTATACTTAGGAATCTTCGGATTGCTGCAGTGCTCATTACATTAATAGAGTTAAGGCTATAAAGCTTATTTCATAGAAGCATACGAAGCTTCTGAAGTCTATTAGAAAAACTGAGAGATATGATATTGCTGCTTCTCAGTCTCTGATGCAATAGAGCTTCAGTAGCACGTTTAAGCTTAGCTATTTGCTGCATTAACAGATTGATTATTAGTTCTGAATTGATAAGCATTTCTTAAGATGAAGAGGAGTAAGGATTGATAGGAGTTTCGGATAGGAGTTGATTTAATTCTGAGCTGATATTATATCCTCTTAATGAATGCAAGATTGGGCTAGCTGGAGCTGTATTCTTGTAATGAGCACTGCAGCAATCCGAAGATTCCTAAGTACACGAAGGGGTTTATGCTAACAAGAGCGGTGTCAAAGTGTCAAGTCCTTGAATACGGAACCGTACAAGTCCTAATAAGCGATGCAAGTGTTCACTGCCTTTGGGGCTACTCAGTGTATGAAACTGAATACTTAGATTGACAACTGAAGAGCTATGTACGAGATCTATCTAATGGGAATGAACGTATTCTTATATATCCAGCTCTTCAGTCCTGTTGGTAGTATTGGTTGTTGGATCCCTTGGATCACCTGGGTGATCCAACTGATTCGGATCACCATGGATCAGCTACTGATCCATTCTGATCCTGTAACCCTAACCCTTGCTTATGTAAGCCTTAGTCCTTGAGATATTGAATCCTTTCCTATCTTTCCGGATAGTTGTTCCGGATGTCCTAGCTAGTAACCTACATGTTGAATAGGTCATAACATCATCTCCCTTCTATCGATCGTTGTCCCTAATGATCTTCCGTAAGTATTCTGGCAAGTCATTCGCATACATGATCATGCCTTCCTAATCGAGATGTCGAACAGAATCAACAAATCGCATCCTAGTCATTCGGTGAAAACTCAAGAGCGTTATCGTCTTGCTAAGCTTATTTCTGCTTTTGATATCGAAATGCCTGCTTGTGCTTATTATCGGGAAACGGGGGCTTTCTATTATTTCGCTGAAAACTCTTCTCGTTGTGAGGAGTGTATTTCTCTGGATCAAAGCTGTAATACTGGTTGTTTCTCAGCTTCTGCTGGTTGGTTTCTTCATTCCTTGGTATTCTCCGTAGTTACTGATTTTCTTCTGCAGCGGGGCGTTTGATTCGTGAAAAGCGCAAAGTTTTGAGCGAGGAGGCTGAGGCAGAGTCAGCAAACGCTGCTGCCCTACAAGCCTTGCTAGCGTCGCAGGCTCGTCTTGATTGTGCACGGAAATAGCGAAGGCTGCTGAAGGAATGTGCTGCAGAAATGATTCGTCGTGGTTTCAATTCCTTGGAAGGGTTTGCTGATGAGGAGGATCGCAGTCTTCGTAAAGAGGAGACCCGTCTGATGTCTCAGGGACATCTTGAGGTTATCGACTGGAGTTTCTTAGCTCTTGATTCTAGCGTATCTGATTGGCTTTCCCTTCTGAAGAGTGAAACTGCAGCGCCTGATTCTCGCTCCGGGGCGGAGAGGTTGTCTTAGGTGCTGGTTTTCCTTCTCCAATATTCAGTTACCTTTTCTTGAGCATTTTTAATGTTTTTCTGCAGTTCCTAAGAATTTTCGCTTGCTGGGTATTCTTTCCATTTAACGAGATATTCTCTTGTATTATCCGTGCCTCTATGCTTGAGAATCTTTTCTACCTCATATTCTGGTTCATTGTTTTCCACTTCTGCTATGTTATCTATTAGTATTTCCTGTGCTGCTAGTTCCAGCAGTAAGATATGGAAAACCGGGTATATCCTCATTCTATGAAGTAATGCTAACTCGTAATTAACTGAGAAAATCTGTTGCAAGATTTTGAATGATTCTAACTTCTTATAGTCGAGTTTATCGCTAGATTTTGTTATTTTGATATTTTTTCGAAGTAAATAGGCCTTATCTTCTTCCTGCAGAATTAATCTCTCAATCCTCTTGGAGTTTGCATACCGCGCTATTCGTTCTTGAACGAATTGTAATTCTGATTGGAGTTTCTTCTGAACTTTCTTGATCTTCTTGATCCTCTTGTCTGCAGCTTCTGCATCTGCTCCTTGCAATGCCTCGTAATAAGCTGTTGGGTTGTATCTGTAGAGTGTGAAGAATGGTGATTTCTTTGTTGTGCTTGTATCTGCGCTATTATAAGCGAACTATGCGAGAGGCAACAGATTAATTCAGTTGTTCTGTTTCTGATTGATATAGTATTGTAGGTACTGTTCAATAACTTGATTTATTCTTTCTGTTTGTTTATCTGTTTGTGGATGAAATGCTGTAGATATTCTGTAGTATGTTCCGAGCTGTTTTATAAGCGAAGTTTAAAATTTCGAATTGAACTTTCTATTTCTATTGGAGATTACTTCCTCTGGCGTGCTGTGATTAGCGATAATCATTCTAAGGAATGTATATGCAAGTTCCTCTGCTGTACTGCTTTTCTTATAGAAGAGAAAATAAGCATACTTGCTCAGTCTGCAAATTATTACTAGGATGCTATTGTATTGCATCTTAGTTAAGAGTTCTTGTAAGAGAGATAGCTTAGTAATAAAGTCTAGACTGATGGATTGCTAAACAGTTGTAGATACTGGTAAGGAATGCAGTAGTTTGTAAGGCTTATATCTTTCTATCTTATTTTTCTTGCAGCTATTGCATTGTTGTAGAATGTTCTTAATTCTTTTCCTAAAACCTGATGGATTCCAGTGTCTTTTGATGCATTTGTAAGTTGCCCTAACTCTCTGATGTTCGTATGCTGATATACCATATATATTCTTAATATAGTTGTTTTGTTCGTTTGGAGTTATTGATTCTGGATTCCTTTCCGAAGATCCGATCCTGAGAGCAGCGTTTAGTTCTCTATATGCGTTAACGAGATTTCCCGACTCGTCTTGAGCGAAGATGTTCTGTATATCCGAGAAATCTGCATCTCGATGGTCTGATCTTCTGCTGAGAGCATCTGCTCGTTCGTTTTCTGAGCTTTTGCAGTATACAATTTTAAAGTTGAACTGTAAGAGGAATTCTGCCTATCTGACTTGTTGCTTGTTCAAAATCTTGATTGTTATAAACATAATTAGATTCTTGTAATCCGAATGAATTATAATCGGATATTGTATGCTAATGAAGTAGTGTTGCTACTTCTCGAAAGCTTTTACTATTGCTATGAGTTCCTGATCAGGGATTCTGTAGTTGATTTCCGAGCTATTTAACTTCTTTGAGAAGTTGCTTACAATCCTTAGATGTTCTTAGCTATCTTGCTAGCCAAGTTGTTCTCCAAGTGCATATTCTGATGCATTAGTTTCAATTTTAAAGGATTTGTAGGGATCTGCTTTATACAGAATTAGTTCTGAGATAATATGCCTGATGATCTCATTAAAGGCTTCTTGTGCTTTGGAGGTTCATTCGAAAGGCTATTCTTTCTTAATGAGATTTGTAAGGGGATGTGCGATCTGGCTATAGTTTTTAATGAACTGCTTGTAGAAGTTGATGTATTCGAGGAAAGATCTAACATTTCTAACGTTCTTGGGAATTAGCTAGTTTCTAACAGCTTCTATCTTATTCTTCTGTAGCTTGATGCATTCTGGCTTGATTGTGAATCCGAGGTAGTTGACTTTTTGTATATGAAAGTGACTCTTTGCGGGTTTTACAAGGAGTTTTGCGTTTTAGAGCGTTTGCAACACTGTTTCCACATGTTTCTTGTATTCTTCAAGTATTTGAGAGTAGATAAGAATGTTATTAAGATAAGCAATAATGAACTGATTCAGATGCTTGCGTAGAATGTGATTGATCATTTTCTGGAATAAAGCTGGAGCATTCGTTAGACCAAAGAGTATAACCAAATATTCGTAGTATTTATAGCATGTTCTGAAAGCAGTTTTCCATTCTTCTCCTTCCTTTACTCTAATCAGATTATAAGCTTCTTTCAGATTCAGAACTATAAATCACTATGCTTCTTGCAATCTATCTTGTAATTCCTTGATAAGTAGCAACGGATATCGGTTCTTGATTGTAATATTATTGAGTTGCTTGTAGTTAATACATAGCCTGAGCTTGCTGTTTTTCTTAGGTATAAACAGAATGAGGTATTCTGCTGGTAATCATGATAGTTGTATATATTCCTTCTTGAGGTTCTCGTTGAGATACTCCCTAAGTGCCTCTAGCCATGCTTTGTCTAGTTCGTAGATAGGGAAGAATTTGGGCTGTTTTCCTTTTTGTAGCAGGATCTTGTAGTTATATAGGCTGTGTTCTAGCAATCCCGTATTCAATTCTTCCTGGAACAGTTTCTTGAACTTGTGATATTCTCGTGATATATTTGCGAGTATTGGTTCTGATCCCTGTGCTGTTTCTGCTATCTGGAGGAATAGTAGGTACTGTTAAGCGTGCTTCTTTTCGTTCGTTGTTTTTGGTAACGTTTTTGAGAGCTTTGAGCGTTCGCTCTGAGCCGGAGCGGGCGCTCGAGGGCCTGGTT